CATTACTTAATCTTGTATTATGTAAAGGTTTTATTATTGTTGTTAAGTGCTGTTGAATTGGTTCCAAGTCATAGTGACCCTGTATAGGATTTCCAATGAGCAGCTGTTGGGTTTGAACTGCTGACCTTTCATTTAACAGTCCATTGCATAATATTATCCAGGGATTATTGTATGCAGGGGTGTGCTGTGCCTCTGTATGCTAAGTACTGGACTGCTGACCACAAAGTTGGTGGTTCAAGTCCACCAACCATTATGCAGAAGAAAGATGAGGTTTTCTGCTCTTGCAAAAATTTGCAGCATCAGAAACCCAATACAAGGTCTCTATCAATCAGAACTGACACAATGGCTCTTAGCAACAACATTGTATGCAAAGAACAAAGGAATAATTAGTCCCTTTCCTTCAGAGGAACTTACATCTAGTGGGAACTATTGACGACATGTGTATGGTTGTCTGTAAAGGCAGGAAATTTAACACTTGGTAACAATTGTGCTTTATACCCATTGTCACGTTATTTATTTATTTATTTTTGAAAATTATTAAAACTTTTGAAACAATGAAATGTGTGAGATTCACTAAATATTAAAAGCTTAGTCTCCTGGCAAAGTTAGGTGTAAAAGTCCTGGTGTGGAGCTGCGAGTTAATGAACTGAACTGCAAATGCAGCTTTTAGGTGGGTTCTTGACTATAATCTTACATTAAAATACATAATTTAAATGCTCAGTTATAAATGTTAAGTCATTTTCAGAAAGTCACTACGTACTAGCCTACATTTTATTCTTATAATTAACTGTTTATGATATCTTTGCAATTGTCCTTTGCATATAGTAATAATAATAACTATAATGCTATTTAGAGAAAGCATCATGTAACACTCACTGTGTGTCAAGCACAAGTTTAAGTGCTGTGCAAATATTAGTTAATCCTTGTGTGGCACTGTAGGATAAGCACTGACAGGTAACCTCAAGGTCGACAGTTCAAACCCACCAGCCAGTCTTAGGTAACCCTAGACAGGATTGCTATGAGTGGGAGACTTGACAGCACTTAATAACAACAATCCTCATATAACCCTAAGCGGTAGATGTACTGTAACCCCCATTATACAGATGAGGAAACTGAGGCACAGGTTATGTCATTTACCCAGTAAATACAGAACTAGGATCCATATGCAGACAGGGTAATTCTGGAGTCTTTGCTTTTTGTCCCTATTAAAGTAGTTCTTCAACAATAGAATACTAGTTTGCAGACTGTAGCAGATTATACAAAATGACCATATTTATTTTATCCTATTACCACACTTAGTTTCTCATCCCTTTTTTCTTAATTTTAATTTGTTATTGGAGTTCTTGATAATTACTATTTTAATGCTAAAAAGCATGATTTCACAAAATGGTTATTCAGAAAATTTACTTTTAAATATATTTTGAATTTCATTTAGATTTCTGTAGATCATTATTTTTAAAATATGTGTTGATTGGCTTAATTTTAAAGGTCAAAAACCAAACCCAAACCCACTGTCAAACCAAACTCATAGCAACTCTATAGAACTACCTCATCATATGGTTTCCAAGACTTTACTGAAGCGTTGCTGCCCCTTTCTCCTGTGGAGCAATTGGTGTTTTTAACATTTGGTTAGCAGTTGAGCTCTTTAACTTCGCTACTGCCAGGTCTCCTATATTCTAAATGTATAATAATGGAAAACTCATTAGATTTCCTATTGCTTTTATTAAAACATTACATATTTTAAATAAGTTCAATATACTGTTGTTGTTGTTATTGTTAAGTGTCTTCAAGTCAGTTCTGACCCATAGTGACCCTATATAGAATTTCCAAGGAGCACTGGTAAGCTTGAACTGTGAACCTTCTGATTCAAACCGACTATGCAATCTAGCACATTAACCCACAGCACCCACCAGGACTCCAAGTTGAAGATATAGGGAGCATACAATTTTATTATTTTCCTGATCTGGAACAATTAATATTTTTTATTAGAAATTTCATGTAGAAGCTGTGGTCTGAAGACAGTGGTAAAGAACATTTAACTGTTAGTGATAAACAGCAACACTTTATATAGACACAAAATTATTCTTGAAAATTCCTTCAGTTATCCCCCTAAATTTATAAGGGATATAATAGCTAACAATATATCATAATCTTATATGACACGATAAATAACACGTGTATGTAAAATATGGTTTAACAATAGTGTTGTTGTTAATGCCAGCAAGTCGATTCTGACTCATAGCAATCCTGTATAGAGGTTCTATAGAGGTTCTGAGGAGTAGCTGGTGGGCTTAAACTGCTGACCTTGGGGCTAGCAGTCCAGTGCTTATCCTGCAGTGCCACACCAGGACTTCAATAGTAGTGTTGGTGCTGTAACTCTACTGATAGTAGAGTCACAGTTGCCTTAATATAGTGTGAAAGAATGAATCCACATCGATGTGGCATTCATTGTAGGATAAGCACTGGATTGCAAGGTTTGTTTGAACTGCAAGGTTGGTGGTTTAAATCCACCAACCACTCTTCGGAAACCTTATTCGAGAGTCGCTATGAGTCAGAAACAACTCGATGGCACGCACGTAATGACAATAACAATGATGTAACGTCACTATAAGAGGCTTAATTCTCCCTTTATTGCTGTGTGAGAGTTAAGATTAGATAAAAGGAATGTATTCAGTTTTCTTTTTAATTTCTTTGAAGCATTCATTGTACATTCATGTTGATGATGTTAATATTTTGAGAAGTCACTTAGTGCTCATGAATAACTTAGTGCTTCTCTGATGTATGATGTGCATATATCTCTCATTATGTTTCTTTCTGTAGTTATGTGAAGAATTATTTGAGAAAATCAATGACAACTGTAATGAAGAAATGTCTTACTCTGTTGAAGTGAGTACCACCCAGGGTTGAAGCCAGAGGCCTCTGTACTCCATCCCCTCAAACATGTCTTATAAATGGTGCCAAAGTATGATTATGCTACAGATCACTTGACCATGTGCCATTTTGTACTTTAGACAATTTCTAAGTTTTGGGTCTAATTATTCATGTTGCAGTTAAATCCTTGTTCATAGGCCTGTGCCTTTATTTTCAGTTATTTCTTTCGTATCTACCATGGGTGTCAAATAGTACGTTTGGATTGCCATGCGGCCTTTCAGAAAGAAAGGCTATATTGGTTTTCAGTCCTACCAGGAGGGTGTAAGCACCCATTATGCTCCCATCAACATTTAGTGGCATTGTTTTTTCATGTTTACCAATTTGAAAACTTCTCAGTTTGCTTATATTTGAATCTTTTGGATTATTAGTGTGGCTGAACATCTTTTAAATTATGCGTGTGCCTTTTTATATTTTGGGTGTTCAATGCTTTTATTTATTTGTATGAACGCTTCACATTTAACACTATTGTTAATGTGTTTTAACAGGCCTAGGTCTTTTAAAATGTATGTAATGAATCCTCTCCCCTTTATAATTGCTTATACTTGAAAAGTTATTTTTCATCTAGTAATGGCTCTTTCAGTGAGAACTCTGCAGAAATGCTTCTGCATACATTAATTTAATTCAACAAGAACTTGTTTTGAACAATTTAGCTATTTCGTAAGCAAGCTCTAGACTCTCCCCTCTTTTTTTTTATTTTGGACTCTGATTAAAAAATATATATACGTGTATGTGTGTGTGTGTGTATATATATATATATATACATACATACATACATATTAGTTGTTGTTGTCAGGTGTCATCAAGTCGGAACCGACTCATAGTGATCCCATGCACAGCAGAACAAAACAATGTCCGATCCTGGGCCAACCTCATTACCGCTGCCTCACTCGATGCCATCAATGATGCCACCTGGCCGATCAATTTCGTTGGGGGTCTTCTTCTTTTTCTCTGACCCTCCATCTTACCCAGCATGACATCCTTTTCCAGTGACTGTTCCCTCTGGACAATATGTCCAAAGTATGAGAGACAAAGCTTAACCATCCTGGCCTCCCAGGAGCACTCTGGCTGCATTTCTTCCAAAACAGATCTATTGATTCTTTTGGCAGTCCATGGCACTTTTAGTATTCTCCAACACCACAATTCAAAGGCATCAATTCTTCTACGATCTTCCTTATTCACTGTCCAGCTTTCGCATCCATATGAGGCTATTGAAAATACCATGCCTTGGATCAGGCACATATATATGTATATATACATATATAAATAAAACTTCCCCAATCCAATAGCTACTTTGGATCTTTTCTGTGAAATATATTACATACATTCATAAATGTTAATTCTGCCGTGTAAAAATCATGCACCAACAGGGAAATGTGCTGCTCTAAAGATACGAAAAGAATCCACAGAGTCAGTGTACCAAAAGGAAATGATTAATGTTCAACCATTTCAAGAGGTTGATCAAGAGCCAGTGATACTGAAGGAGGAAGTCCAAGGTGAATTGAAGGAATTGGTGTAAAGAACAAGGCACCAGGAATTTATGGAATCAAAATTGAAATCTTTAAAGAAAGTGAGGTGGCACAGGAGGCACTCACTCATCTCTGCCAAGAAATTTGGAAGACAACTGTCTGGCCAACTGATTGGAAGAGATCCATATTTGTGCCCATTCCAAAGAGAGGTGACCCAACGGAAATCATTAGACAATCTCTTTGATATACCATGTGAGTAAAGTTTTACTCAAGGTAATACAGAAATGGCTGCAAGCATACATTGATAGTGAACTTCCAGAAGTGCAAGCTGGATTCAGAAGAGGCCGTGGAACGTAGGATATCATTGCTGATGTCCTGTGGCTCTTGGCTGAAAGCAGAGTATATCAGAAAGATATTTACCTGTGCTTTATTGAGCATGCAAAGACTTTCAATTGTGTGGATCATGACAAGCCATGGACAACACTGTGAAATATGAGTATTCCGGAACACTTAATTGTGTTCATGAGGAATCTGTACCTAAACCAAGAGGCAGTTGTTCGAACAAAACATGGGAACACTGAATGGTTTAAAATTAAGAAAGGTGTGCAGCAAGGTTGTATTCTTTCACCATACTTATTCAACCTGTATGCTAAGCAAATAATCTGAGAATCTGGGTTATATGAAGAAAAACATGGCATCAGGATTGGAGAAAGACTCATTAACAACCTGCGATATGCAGATGATACAACCTTGCTTGCTGAAAGTGAAGAGGACTTGAAACATTTACTGATGAAGATCAAAGAGTACAGCCTTCAGTATGGATTGCATCTCAATGTCAGGAAAACAAAAATCCTTACCACTGGACCAATAAACAACATTCTTATCAGCGGAGAAAAGATTGAAGTTGTCAAGGACTTCATTCTTCTTGGATCAACTATCAATACTCACAGAAGCAGCAGTCAAGAAATCAACTGATGTATTTATTAGGCAAATCTGCTGCACAAGACCTTTTTAAAGTGTTGAAGAGCAAAGATGTCAGCTTGAGGACTAAGGTGCACTTGATCCAAGCCATGATATTTTCAATAACCTCATATGCATGCGAAAGCTGGACAGTGATTGGTTAGTGAACATGGAATTTGAGGGAAGGGAGTTTAGATGAATTAAATGTGTAATAATCTCAGGTTAGAAATGTTCATCTTAGTGTGTTTATCTCCATGATAGGAATGGTCCTGTTGGTAAAACAGGAATTCTGAAGTATAGTCTGAGTGTTCAGGGAGGTTCCTCTCCTCCAAAATCATCTTCCATGCTGATCAGCTCTCATCCCTTCTAGTGGAGACATTATCCATATTCAGTTACATTGTAGTTAGTCTTGTCAGAGTCATTGATTTCTTTTGTCTTCCCTACTTTGCGATATTGATGTTTTAACTATGATACAAGTCTAATTTCCAGGCTCTTGGGGGTATCTCACTATAATCCGCAGTTATTGACAATATTGTGCGTTTTAAGAAACATACTGATAAATTACTATGAAAAGTGGTATTTTTCTGCCTAAGGCAGTGACAACCAATATATGCTAGAGATAGCTGTGCTTCCTTTTCCTTCCTGAGAAAGTTAGGAGTTTAGCTCTAGACTATACAGTGTGATGTTTGTGTTGATTGCTAATAGAATATAAAAGGGCTAGGACTATGACATTTTACTTGATAAAAGTTGCTGATTTCTAATTATAGAGCACTTAAAAAATTTAGTTTTAAATGTTTTTGATATATAGGATTTCTTTTGTAAGTCCTCTAATTTACTTTAGTGTTTTCTTTTTAGGTGAGCTACATGGAAATATACTGTGAGAGAGTACGAGATTTGCTGAATCCAAAAAACAAGGGTAATTTGCGTGTGCGTGAACACCCTCTTCTTGGACCTTATGTGGAGGATCTGTCAAAGCTGGCAGTCACTTCCTACACAGACATCGCTGACCTCATGGATGCTGGGAACAAAGCCAGGTATGGTAGAAAATAGACCAAAGAAAGAGGTCTTTGGCACGATTTGTGGCTCCTTGTTCCCTGTTAGGCCTTTGAACCACATTCATAACTATGAAAGTTGTTCTTATTGTGGAGTCCTGTGATCATTTGACTGAAAAGGTGAGGACTGCATTTTATGGTATCTTTCTTATCAAAACACATTAGAACTTTAGTTAAGTTTCACTTTTAGGTTTTGATCAACTCATGGTAAAATGTTAGTAATCACATTTCTACATGACTGTTTTAGTAATTGATTCTGAAATAAATGAATACCTGATAAAGAATCAAAATTAAATGCTTCAGTGGTTCCTAATGGGACAGCTGGAGTATGAAAAGTGCTTCGAATGGCGGTTGCCTTTAGAGTTAGAGAAGAACGTGATAGGCTCACAAATAAAGCAGTATTGAGAGAAAGAATGTGATGATCTTCAATCTGTGACTAAGTTTAAAACTGTTGCTTGTGATTGTTATGCTAGTAATGTGGAACCCATTGTACATTTTAACCTTTATTTAAGAATTCTATTGTCACATGGTCACCTTTATATTTATTTAGGACAGTGGCAGCTACCAACATGAATGAAACAAGTAGCCGTTCCCACGCTGTGTTTACCATTGTTTTCACCCAGAAGAAACAAGACACTGAGACCAACCTTTCCACTGAGAAGGTGGGAGAATTTCAGTCCTTGGGTGTGAATTTTAAGAGGTGGAGACTTTCAAAAGTCCCACTTGCTGTCCTTTACAGTTTGTGGATGGGAGGAACGTTGCTGTTGTACTTAATGGAAGGGTGTTTTATAACCTCTGCCTATCACTTTCTTTTGCCATAAACACAATTTTGTATAGGAATTCTGACGTCAAAATACAAAATAGAGTTAACAAAAAACAAGCCAAGATTTGGGTTTTCAAAAGCGACATTAAGAGTTAACCAGTTCCTTGGCTACCTAAAATGAGGAGGTGATAAAGGCACAGAGTGACTGGCTTATAAGTTTTCAATTGGGAGTTTAATTGAAGCTAAAATTCAGATAAAAACTGAATATTGTTCATCTTATCTAGTTGGGTCTAGTGAAAAAAGATGGGGTAAGATTCTTATGATTCAATAGTGAGTAATTGTTATCGTGACTAATTGCGACTGTCACAACTGTAAAGGTGGAAGCTTTGTAACAAAAAGGGGGAAGTAGTTATCTTACAGTCCAGAAACAGAGGATCCTAGGACCATCAAGGGAGAAGAGCACAAGCAGAATGCAGGACCTTATCCAGAGAAGCAGCGACACCAGAGATGGAGGTAGATGGATCATGGAGAGAGAGAGCAGCTTAGGACTCTAGATTCATGGGAAGAGAGGGACTGGGAGCTGGTGGCTAGGAGGCAGACTTGCAGACTGTGTGTGCCCTTTTATACACTTATGGGTGTATAAATGCTGTAAATTATTGTATATGCCTGAATAATTAAAAAAAATAAAATAAAGCTGAAATGACTAGAGAGAAATAGTTATCTGATGGTTCATGGAGGGGATTATAATCATTGTAATGAAACAGGTGTATGATTTGTTGAATGTAAAATTGATGATTTGACCTGTAAACTTTCACTCAATTCACAATAAAAACTTAAAAAAAGAAAAAAGAAAACCCTAGGAGTAGTTCTACTTTCTCCTTAGGTTCACTATGAGTAGTAAATGAAAAAAAAAAGAGTTAACCAGTTCTTTACAAAGAAAAGCCTTCCTTTTCTTCTCTGCTGAAACCTCTTAATTATTACCTTATTATTTTTGTTTGCTGTGGGTAATTTATTTTTTGAGGTGTGATAGTGTTACTATTGGATTTAATATCTTTGGGCTTTTGTTTTCCATCTATAACAACCTCAATACCAAAAAAAAAAAGAAAGAAAGAAACCTGTTGTCCTGAACTCATTTCCAATTCCTAGCATGTGTGTCAGTGTTGAACTATACTCCTTACTTTGTTGTTGTTGTTAGATGCCATTGAGTCAGTTCCGAGTCATAGCGACCCTATGCTCAACAGAATGAAACACTGTCCAGTCCTGCACCCTCCTGCCAATATGTCCGAAGTTTGAGAGACAAAGCTTGGCCATCTGGCCTCTAAGGAGCACTCTGGCTGCACTTCTTCCAAAACAGATATATTGGTTCTTTTGACAGCCCATGGCACTTTTAGTATTCTCCTCCAATACCATAATACAAAGGCATCAGTTCTTCTATGGTCTTCCTTATTCACTGTTCAGTTTTCTCATGCATATGAGGTTATTGAAAATACCATGGTTTGGGTCAGGCACACCTTAGTCCTCAAGCTGACATCTTTGCTCTTCAACACTTTTAAAAAGTTCCTGTGCGGCAGATTTGCCTAATGCATTACGTCGTCTGATCTCTTGACTGCTGCTTCTGTGAGTGTTGATAGTTGATCCAAGAAGAGTGAAGTCCTTGACAACTTCAATCTCTTCTCTGTTGATAAGAATGTTGTTTATTGGTCCAGTGGTGAGGATTTTTGTTTTCTTGACATTGAGATGTAATCCATACCAAAAGCTGTGCTCTTTGATCTTCATCAGTAAATGTTTTAAGTCCTCTTCACTTTCAGCAAGCAAGGTTGTATCATCTGCATATTGCAGGTTGTTAATGAGTCTTCCTCCAATCCTGATGCCATGTTTTTCTTCATATAACCCAGCAAATCAAAACAACAATGAGATATCATCTCACACCAACAATAATAGCAAAGATGAAAAACTAGAGGACAATAAATGCTGGCGGGGATGTGGAGAGACTGGGACACTCCTGCATTGCTGGTGGGACTGCAAAATGGTCCAACCTCTCTGGAAAGCAACATGGCACTTCCTCAGAAGATTGGAAATAGAAATACCTTATGATCCAGCAATTCCTCTACTTGGTATTTACCCACAAGAAATACAAACCATCACATGAGAAGATATATGCACACCAATGTTTATAGCAGCACTATTTACAATAGCAAAAAGATGGAGACAGCCAAAGTACCTATTAACTGAAGAATGGATAAACAAACTGTGGTACATACACACAATGGAATATTATGCTACCCTGAAGAATAACAAGGAAGCTGCAAGCCACCGCATAACACGGATGAACCTTGAGGACATTATGTTGATTGAAATTAGTCATTCACAAAAGGAGAAATACTGCATAGGACCACTACTGTAAAAGACTAAGAAAAAGAACCCATACTAAAGGGTATGGGGGGTTCTTTGCGGGGGTTGTTCTTTGCTGGTTACTGGGATGTGGGGTGAGATTAGGGAGGGGAAGGTGGAGCACAGGGCAGGGAATAGACACAGGATAGTTTGCGTGCTGTGGAGGGGGTCAATATAGAAGAAGAGGGAGGAGAATGGAAGAACAAAGCGATGGGAGAACAATTAGGCACGTTTGCATGGGCTAAGTGGGACATAGGTAAAGAATGGTGTATGCACAACCTTGGAACAACAGGATTTTGGGATATAGGGATTGAGACATGGTTGGAATGGGGAAAAGGGAATAATGTGAAGATGCTTGGCTTTCTTTTGAATCTTGGTTTCCCTTGCATACCATTATAAAATAGACACTGGAGGGGCAGAGAAAGGAATAGCCAGAAATATCACTATAGAAAGCTTGTAAGTCCATCTTCTGCCCATAACTGATTGTAATACCTAAAATGAGGCTACAGAGTGCCCAGTGAAGGAGGCTTCCTGCGGAGCGTCTGTATTACATAAAACCAAAGGTGGAATCCTGAATAGCATCCAGAATCTTCAGAAGTGGGAAATTTTCACTTGACAGGATGGGCAGACCAGCTTGGAGCTGCTGGAAGAACAGAAGATACTTCTTGAAAGACCCACAGGAAAAATACAAAACAATATAGGCAGACCGACTGATTACTACAACAACAAGCAAGTTGCTCGCCCAGGAGACATCAAGGCAAGTGGTTAGGTCACCTCAGAGCAAACCCACTTCCAAGACTAAGACTCAATGCGAATACATGCTCTGATTGGTGACCACATTCATCACCGATAAGGGGAAGTGATAGAAAAACAGCAATGAAGTTGCGAGCTAAGCCCTACAGTGTTCAGTAGACTCCTGTGAACCCGGGTGGAGACCTGGTTGGCCAGCAGTGTGGCAAAACCTGGGGACTCCTGGGCCCAGAGTCAGTGACATAGCCACAGAGGATTAGAGTAGAGAGTAAAGGGTCCAGCTGATAAGAAGAGAGGGCATATGCACAAGAACCACCCATACATGCAGATAATACCCACTTGACCTGGCTTCAATGACTGGATGATCAGAGCTCAACTAGAAGAAGAAAGAAGAGGAAAAAAAGAGTAATCTGATACAGTTTGATGAACTTGACCTACACCTATGGATGCAGTAGCTCAAAAGAAGGAACAAATCTTTACAGCAAGGATCATTCCCACCGCCTCCATACACAGAGTAGACAGGGATGGGCAACTTGGATATTGGCTACCCAAAATGGGGGTGCACCAAAGGCAAGAAGTGACTGGCTTACAAGCGTTCAAGAGGGAACCTAGATCCAGAGGGCGTGGAGAAAGGTCAAATCTCCATTGAGTGGTATCCAATCTGTCTTGGCGGGCCTGGGAAATGCGGATAGGTCTCTTGTGATACAATAGTGAATAATCGTTATCAGGACTGCTTGTGAGGGTTGCAAATGTAAAGGTAGATGGTTTGTAGCAAAAGGAGGGGAGTGATTAACTTTTCAATCTAGGAGCGGAGGTCCCTGGGACCATCAAAGGAGAAGAGTGGAGAGCAGGACCTTACCCAAAGAAGCAGTGATGCCAGATTTGGAGGCAGAGATGATGACGTGGAGAGATGGGAGTGGCTGGGGACTTTAGACCCAGAGAGGGAGAGGGGCTGTGTGCTGATGACCGGAGGGCAGGCTTGTAGGGTATAGCCTCTGGTTGGTTGGTGATGCATGAAGGGGATTGTAACCATGGCAATGAAACGATATACAATAGGATGAATGTAAAACTAATGTTCTTCCATGTAAACTATCACATAATTCAGAATAAAACATTTAAAAAAAATTATCATGGACTCTAGACTTTCTAGAGTATTGGAGGGTGGATGAACCCTCCTGAAACAAATGCTCTGAGGTAATTTTTAAACTTTATCAAAAATATCTCCTGGGGTCTTCTTAAGACCGAGTAATTTAGCTTGGCTAGTTAAAAAGGACTGCCTTGAGCATTGTACTGTTTTTTTTTTTGTTTTGTTTTTTGTGAACTGAATGTTAGTTTACATGGAAGAACATCGGCTTTACACCATCATTTCATTGCAATCTCCTCCATGCATCCTCATTCAGTAGTATTTGCTTCCATTCCCTCTGTGTCTTTTTTTTTGGGGGGTGGGGTGGGAAGAAGGGGAGAGATGTACACACAAACACTCAGGAATATGTAATAATTTAAACAACCAAAGAACACATTCTGCAAACCTGCCTCCTAGCCGCCAGCACTCAGTCCCTCTCCTTCTATGAGTCTAGAGTCCTCAGTGAGCATTGTGCTCTTTTAAGAATTACCCATAGGAGTCCTGGTGTGGCGCTATGGGTTAATGTGCCAGACTGCAAAAGCCGTTTGAACTGCAAGGTTGGTGGTTCAAGCTCACAGCTGCTCCTCAGAAACCCTATACATGGTCGCTATGGATCGGAACCAACTTGACAGCACTTAACAACAACAATATAAGCAATGGAATTGACACCAGCAAACTCAAAGGATGAGATGGAAACTTTAGTGGACTTTGAGTTCATGTTACTGAGGGAGGAGCAACTCAGAAAAAGAGTTGGAGAATCATTGCACAATTTAAAGACTGTAATCATTGTTCCTGAATTGTACATGTAGAAACTGTTGAATTGGTGTGTGCTTTGCTGTGCACATTCTCCAATAGAAGCAAAAGAAATAATATTTAAAGAAAATTGCAAAAATGAGAAATATATACATTTCTTGCTCTATAGTGCAACATGAGGTCTTGTTCATTGTTGGTGGGAATGCAAAATGGAATAGTCACTTTGAAAGGCAGTCTCACAGTTTCTTATAAACATAAATATAGTCTTACCATATAACCCAGCATTTGTGTTTCTAGAAGAGAATTTCAAATTATCATAGGCGCTAGACTTTCTTGAGCCTTGGAGGCTGGATAAACTTTCCTGAAACAAATGCTCTCAGGTACTCTTAGCCAATTATGTTCACATACTTACATATGATTGTTTAGAGCAGCTTTATTTATAATCACCAAGCTAGGAAGTAACCAAGATAATCCTACAATGCATGAGTGGATAAACATGTATCCATGCAATGGAGTATTATTCAGCAAGAAAAAGAAAGGAGCTATCACACCACAGAAAGACTGAAAGAACCTTATAAGTGCATATTGCTAAGTGAAAAGAGATAGTCTAAAAAAGCTACATACCAGATGATTCCAGTTACATGACATTCTGGACAAGACAAAACTATAAAGACAGTAAAACGAACGGCAGTTAACGGGGACTCAGGAGGAGGGATGAATACATGGAGCATCAGCCATTTTGAGGGCAGTGAGAGGATACATGACAAACATTTGTCAAAACGTGTAGGACTGTGCCACATAGAGTGGACACATATGTAAACTATGGGGTTTAGTTAATAATAATAATGCATCAATATTGGTTTATCAGGAGCTTTGATGGAACAATGGTTTAGTGTTTAGTTTGAACCCACCAGTCATTCGGCAACAGAAAGATGTGGCAGTCCTCTTCTGTAAAGAATATAGCCTTGGAAACTATATGGGTCATTTCTACTCTGTCTTGTAGAGTTTCTATGAGTCTGAATTAGCTAGCTGGCAGTGAGTTGATTTTGTTGTTAGGTATGTTTGGGAGCAGTGGGAGGTTTATAGAGGATAACACAGTGTGGTTAAGTGCTTGATTGCTAATGGATAGCTGCTCCCAGGAGAAAGATATGGCAGTTTGCTTCCATAAAGAGATTACAGCCTTGGAGAAACCCTATGAAACAGTTCTACTCTCTCATGGGGTCCCTATGAATCTAGAATCAAGTCGATGGCTATGAGTATTGGTTCATCAATCATAACAGATATCCTACAGGAATATCTAAGATGTACATCTTAGCAGAAATATTGTGTAGTAGGAAGAGCACATATGAGAACTACACAATTTTTCTGTAAACCTAAAACGGCTCTGAAAAAAACACAGTTGTTAAAATTGGGGTAGAAGTACTTCTCATTAGGTTATCTGCTAACTTGGTGCTTCTTAGCCAGAGGTTACAGCACTCATGTTGTTTTACTAGTCAGCTTTCTTTGTGTGAATGCCAACAGGTAACATTCTACGTGAAAGCAGTTTTGTTCATCACTGATAATGTCAAACCTGAGAAATTAAACGTTAATCCCATAGCCTTGGTTTCCTTGATGATCTGTTATTTAATGAATTTATGAGTTTTGTGTACTTTTAGAACATTCTGGAAGAGTCCTGTTGGCACAAATGATTAAGCACTTACCTGCTAATAGTAAGATTGGCAGTTTGAACCTACCCAGAGACTCCACAGGAGAAAGACATGGGGATCTACTTCCATAAAGATTACAGCCCAAAAAACCTATTGGGCAGTTCTCTTCTGTCACATGGGGTGGCTGTATGGATACAAAAAGGACTCAGCAGCATACTGCAACAACATAATGTGCTATAATAAAGTGCACCGTATTTGTCATGAAATTATTTCTTCTGAGCCAAGATATTGTTACGTACTATATGGAATACTCTTTAAACTCTCTACAGCCTATCTTGTCTTTGTCTTCTTAAGCCATATTTACGTGATTTAACTTTTTTAGTCCTCTCAGTATCCTTGATCTTGTAATTCCCTGCCTTTAAATGTTTTATACTTCTTTGCTTAATTTTTAATTGTCCCAATGTTACTGTTCTTTATCAGGTCAGTAAAATCAGCTTGGTGGATCTAGCAGGAAGTGAACGGGCTGATTCAACTGGTGCCAAAGGAACTCGATTGAAGGTATTAATTTTACCAAATAAATGATTTTAGTCAGTAAATGTTATGTAACATAAGTCAGCAAACTATAACCTGTGGGCCAAATTTGGCCCACTGTCTATTTTTATAAATAAAATGTTCTTGAGACATAGCTACACCCATTAGTTGTTTATGGCTGCTTTTGTGCTACAGTGACAAAGTCTAGTAGTTGCAAAGAAGACAATATGACTTGCAAACCCCCAAATATTTACTATCTGGTACTTTATGGAAAAAATGTTGCTGATTTTATGAGCTATAACTTTAGTGAAAGAATAAGTTATGTATCCGAATAGTTAGGGAGAACTTCATGGACAAGGTGAGAATTGAATTTTGAAGAAGAGGCAGATTTTGACTAGGTAAAAGGTAGAGACAGTACTGGAAGCAAGATACAAACAATTCAAATGTGAAGACAAGCATGGACTTTTCTAGAGATACTACTTAAGAAGAGCAGAAACTGTGTGAGTCTGAGCTGTAAGATAAGGTTACATCTGTAAGTTTTTGGAGCACGGACATCTTGAAGATACTTTAGGACTTTGAGTTAGGCCGTTGGCCCTGACATGTCATTGAGAGCAGAGGAAAGATGAGGTTTTTTTAGGAACTAGTGATCATAATTAAAAAATAATAATGTAGCTAATTGTATTTTATAGATTATTTATCATGTAGCAATAGTAGAAATTCTTCATAATGCTTTCATGCTTGGTTTTTATTTTTAGGAAGGAGCAAATATTAATAAGTCTCTTACAACTTTGGGCAAAGTCATTTCAGCCTTGGCAGAGGTGGTAAGTTATATAGTACTTTGTAGGATAATTTGTATCTGTTCAGCAAATGTACTTGATGGTATTTTAGGATTATTTGTGAAGGCTGTCCTTTTTCAGCCCTTTTATGTATAGGTAGACCTTGGCAATATTTTGGGTTCAGTAGCAGACCACTGTAATAAAGCAAATATTACAATAACACAAGTCACATGAATTTTTTGGTTTTCATGTGAATGTAAGAGTTATGTTTTCACTATACTGTAGTTTATTAAGTGTGTATAGCATTCAGGAAAAGGTTTGACATAATGTGAGAATTACCAGAATATGACATAGAGACATGAAGTTGATGAGCACAGGCTGTTGAAAAAATGGAGCCAATAGACTTGTTAGAAACAGAATTACCCAAACCTACATTTGGTTTAAAACACATGCACACACACATATTGCAGTGTCTGTGAAGTTCAGTGAAGTGAGATGGAACCAAATGAGGTATGCCTGTCTCCTTCTAGAACTTCTCAGATAAGATGTGAGACATAACACACTTGGACTTTGTACCAAAAGGAAAACAGGTTAAAGAGAATGAAAGAAAATATAGATCTGAAAGGAGTTCTGGTGTGGTTCTATGGGATAAAGCATTGGACCGTAAGGTCGGTTTGAACCACAAGGTCTATTTGAACCACAAGGTTGATGGCTCAAGCTCACCAGCCACTCCTTGAAAACCCTATACAGGGTCACAATGAATCGGACCCAACTCTCAGGCACTTACCAACATTGACAACAATATAGATCTGAAAAGGAGAGAGAGTACAAGTGTAAGGTTTGACTTGTTTGAAACTTTGTTTCTATCTCTCACAAAAACCACATGTATTCATTGTATAAGCATCTTTAGTTGGCATAAGCAATTATACATTTGGCTACTAGCTGAAAGTTTAGTGATTCAGATTTACTTAATCCAGTTGCACCTCAGAAGACAGGCCTGGGGGATCTGCTTCTAAAAGGTCACAGCCTTGAAAACCCTATGGAGCAGTTCTCCTCCGCACACATGGAGTTGGCATGAGTCGTTTCAAGACTATTAACGATAACAACAATCACTGTATATTCTTTTCTGATAATCATCTTTTCTAAGTAGTATGCAATCCCTATGGAGTGGTTTGAGCAATTTGATTTTGGTGAACGTTGTTTGTTAGGGGTCCAAAAATATAGCAATAATTTTTTAAAATAATCTTTCTTTCCTTCTATTCCTTAAGAGTGGAACAGTAAAGCTGAAACAATTTTTGTATAAAGTTTTATTTTTAGGTTAAAAACTGAGGAAGTATTAGTCATTGTGTGCTCTGATTTAGTATAATTCCTCATTTAGTTCCTAAAAAGAATGAAATGCCTTCTTGCTTATCTCTCAGAAATCATATTCAATGATGACTTAAATATAAACAAAATAATTATTTTCTGGTTGGAAGCTTATCCTGTGTTTTTGTTCTCTCCTTTAAATGCTTTCATCTGTAGGATAACTGCACCAGTAAGGTATGGTGGGGGTTGGTAGAAATGAACTAGCTGTAGAATCAACTGTTATGGATTTAAATCCTGAGCAGGATGTATGGAGACAAGAATAGGAATGGAAACTTTAAAAACCCTTGTTTTTTTGTTTTTCTGAATCTGGCATTTCAAATGACTATTGAAGGGTGGCCAGAAATCATGAAATTTCACTCTAAAGTTAATTTAGGGAACATGATGGGCTTTCAAGAAGGAATTCAGAGTAAAGGAATAAGAGGGAAATTGGAGGAATTTTCACATTGTGTTATGATTTTCCCTACTGATCTAGGAGATATAGATCTTGAAGTTCCCCATAAAGTATTCAAATTGCAGTAAAAGAAATTGTTTAGTAGTATCATTTCAGCACATGGCTGGCTTCTTGAAATTGTTACTAGTTGTTGTTTTAGCTTGTAGGTGAAGTTAAAATTCTTACTGCATCCCTTTTTACCCAAATACTGTGGGAGAGTTTTCTTCCATATATTTTTCTATACACATATTTTAAAGTTTATTGATATTATTTATACAACTAATATTAAGAGTACTTAATAGTTGTTCTGAATAACATGAGTAAAATTAGGAATATAGACTGTATTTGTATTAAAATATTTTATAGCCTTGCAGGTCCAGTGCATTAACCCACAGCACCACACCAAGAGTCCTAACAGTACTAACAGAGGGCGAACTAAGGTCCCAGTCCTCAAGGATTTTATAGTAGAATAAATAAATGTTAGACCCACCCGCTAAGATGTGAATGACTGAAAGACTTAATTTTCTCGAGTGGTCTGTGCAGTTTTAAAACAGAGCCCACTATTGGAAATTACTTTGTATTTGGTAGTACATATGCGTGGAGTCCTGGTATGGTGCTGCAGGATAATGCACTGGACTGCAAGATCAGTTTGAGCTGTAAGGTCAGTGGTTCAAACCTACCATCCGCTCCTTGGAATCCCTATACAGGGTCACTGTGAGTTGGAACTGACTCAGTAGCACTTAACAACAACAAGTACTTACGTTAGTTGAGGGAATATTTTTTATGAAAGATGGAACTAAAATGTCTCTTCTCTACTTTATCTCTTCCTCAGTAAAACAGAGATTAACCACTACCACTCTTGCTTGAAATACCTGTATTTATCCAAAAAATAGATCATCTTTATTTTAACCTTAGATTTTACCAGGAATGTATTGTAAAACGGTTGAGTGCTAAGATGATGTTTATCAGTCAGTGAGTCCTGGCTTTCCCTTAGTGTGATATCTTTTACTTTTTTTCTCATTGTTGTGAAAATATATGTACCAAAAGAGTTATCAGTATAAGGGGGCTACAAAACACTTATGGAAATACTCCATTTTTTTATTTCAATTTTCCATGAACAACAATGTCTACATTTACAGAGCCAGTAACTCTGATTACATTCTTCATGTGGTGTATCCATTATCACTGTCCTTTTCCAACTTTGGAAAAAAATATGAGGCTGTCTGCTCCTACAAAGATTTAGAGTCTCAGAAACCCTGTGTAGAGTTGCAACTTGATGGCAGTGGCTTTTTTCAACTTAGTGGTTGAGTTAATGCGCTGGATTGTAAGGTCAGGTTGAACTGCAAGAGCAGCAGTTCAAGCTCACTAGCTGCTCCTTGGAAACCCTATGAAGGGGCGCTATGAGTCAGAACTGACTCAAGGGCACTTAACAACAACAACAACAACACAGCATCATAATACAGTAGATTTTTTAGTAGCTAGCATCTGCAAAGCATTTACATTATTACCTGTAGAGCATACTATTTTATTGATTTCAGCACTGACTTTGCATTGGTGCTTTTTTCACAGTTCTTTGATAATGAGAAGCTTGTGGGGAAAGCAATACAAATAGGAGGGGGCTTCAGAAAGTTCACAGGAGAATTCTATTATCTTTTCATTCTATTTTTCATGAGCTTTTTGAAGCCCTTATGTAGACCCTTGAAGTATACAGAAGCTTCATCTTGCAATCTTTACTCATCTTCGGATTTGTAAATCATAGCACTCTTAGACGTTTCACTTTTGGCACTAGTTCCAATGTTTGTATTTGTTTTGGGCATAATTGATTTTTATGGAAACCAAGTGCATTACTGAACAGTTGTTACTAGATAACAACCCATTAAGTGATTTGGAGGTTTGGCTAAGTAAGTTTATTAATGGACCTTTCCTTACATATCTGATGTGGAATGCATAGGCTATTCATCCTCTGAAAGAATTAAAAGTATTGCTTGAAGGACCAGGTATTAGATGATATTAAGGAATTTTTGTTAATCATATAAGGGAACTTCAAAAAGTTCACTGAAAAAATGGAATTAAAGGTAATGTTTTAAAACAAAAGTCATCTTCTATTGGAAAAGTATGTATTAATAGGTGAAATGTTAGATTTGCTTTAAAACACGTTGTTGTTGTTAGGTGCCATCAAGTCGGTACTGACCCATAACGACCTTATGCACAGCAGAATGAAACACTTCCCCATCCTGGGCCAACCTCACTACTGTTGCCACACTTGAGTCCATCGATGCTGCCACTTAGCCAATCCATCTCGTTGGGGGTCTTCCTCTTTTTCTCTGACCCTCCACCTTACCAAACATGATACCCTTCTCCAGTGACTGGTCCCTCCTGACAATATGTCCAAAGTATGAAAGATGAAGTTTGGCCATCTTGGCCTCTAAGGAGCACTCTGGCTGCACTTCTTCCAAAATGGATCTATTGGTTCTTTGGCAGCCCATGGCACTTTCAATATTTAAAACACTAGCAGCTATAAAAGACAATATAAGAACAGAATGATATTGTACATTTCCTGAATTAGATCATGTAGTTACTAATCAGGCTGCTAACCTCAGGGTCAGCAGTTCAAACTACCAGCTGTTCTGTGGGAGAAAGATGAGGCTTTCTGCTCCCATGAAGATTTACAGCCTCAGAAACACTGTACAGGGTCGCTATGAGTCGGAACTGACTCCACGGCACATAACAACAACAACAATTTGGCTATGAGAATGTAGCCTTATTTACTGAAAACTTTAGTAGGAGTAACGGGACATGATATTTGCAGTTTATTTCAAAATGTTTAGTGGAAAATAAAGTGTAGAAAAGTGTTTAGAGGATAATTTAAAGATGACTGTCTATTAATAATCGGCGAAGTTACAGATGAGTGTATATAACTCATTATACTACTTTCTCAACTAGTGTATATGTTACAAGGTTTTTTCAAAATGAGGTGTTAAAATAATACTTGATTTCATGAGCTTTGGGTATTGTGAAGATCTGAAACTGAATGTTAAATTGATCATTGACAGGGTTTACTTACTGCAATTTTATATGATTGGGAATTTTAGACTTGTTTTCCTTTCATGTGAAAATTTCCCTCTATCAACTCTAAGTTAATTTATTCCTCTTTCACAGAGTAAAAAGAAGAAGAAAACAGATTTTATTCCATACAGGGACTCTGTACTTACTTGGCTCCTTCGGGAGAATTTAGGTATGAAAGTTTTTCTAACCATATGTAAAAACTCACTTTGTAGTTACCTTTTTAAAGCTGTTACCAATGATCTTTTGTGATTGTTTTGTATGTCTTATTTGGAAAAGTCTAATTTTTAGATTTTTATGTTAGTAATGTGAGTGTTTCTTGCCTTCTTTCATTTTCATTCTTGATTTAAGTTTGTTGGACTCGTTCACCTTTAAATCAGGGTTTTCTTCCCTATCTTCTATACTTCAGCACATGACCTGTGGGCTGATTTCCTTCCTGCTTCCCCAAACCTGCTCCTTTCTCTTTTGGAAACTCCCACATTCCTTGGAGGTGCACATAATCAGACACTATTAGCCTTTACTCCTTACCACAGATGTTTTTGGACCTTCAGGTCACTGCCCTTCATTTACTGTTCCTTTTTCTCCTTCTCAAGAAGGATGGGAAGTAGTGCTCAGTTGTGTCAAATAATTACCAGTCTAATCCTTGCTTGCTGAAGGAAGAGACTGAGAATTGACTATAAGACGTATCAACACCAGCAGTAACTTCCTAAGAGAAGTTTTGGTGGAGTAGTGGGGCTAAAATCTTGATTGATGTGTATTTCAAGAGGAGAGTGGGAGGAGAAGAATGGAACATAGTAGATTTAGACACCAAAATTTAAGTAGAAAGTATGTGGCAGGAGGACATTCAAGAAATTTGTTGATTCAGTCTTAGGTCTGATTGTGCTATCAAACTTGACACATTGAATAAGATACTAGTTTCTAAAATGAGTGATTTGAGATCATTGTTTTTTCATGTTTCCAGGTGGCAATTCTCGGACTGCGATGGTAGCTGCTCTGAGCCCAGCAGATATCAACTACGATGAAACTTTGAGCACTCTGAGGTACTACAGTTGATCTAGTTAAATAAATCATAATGCCATTATTTTGTTAGCCCTGCATTTAAAGAATTAATTCCTCTTATAAGAGGGAAAACTTGGAGAAAAAAAATGGATTCTTATTATAAATATGAAATTTGTTTATGATCTTTGGTTTCATTGGGAAAAGCAGAAAGTTGGGGGTTGTTTTTTATAGAAAATATGTTAGAATTGCTCAAGTAAGATCTTTTAGTAACTTTTAGATAATAAAGTTTCTTAGTCATTTTCAAGGAGTTCTGGTAGCATAGTGGTTACGAGTCAGGCTGCTAACCTCAAGGTCAGCAGTTCGAAACTAACAGCCATTCCACAGGAGAAAGATGAGACTTTCTGCTCCTATAAAGATTTACAGCCTTGGAAACCCTGTACAGAGTCACTATGAGTCAGAATCGACTCCACAGCATACTACCACCACTACCACCAAAGTCATTTCTATAAAACGTGTCCCCTTCTTAGTGAGTTTGTCATTATAGAAATGCTCAGTAAAAAGTAATATAATGAACTTTTGTAACATTGAAAGAAAAATCACTGACAAGAATGTTCAATAGTAAAATACTTTTATAAATGAATGGTTTCCATTATATAAGTCTGGAACTTTCTACCCTTTTCCCATTAAAGTCATTTTTGGTACAGTGGGTTTGAATGACCTTGGGCAATTAACTTAAATTCATCAGAGCCTTTCCGTCATCCTTTATAAGATACTTTACAGCTTTATACAAATATATATTGTTATCATGGTACATAAAACATAGAATGCTTGATTTAGAAGTAATGGTATGTTACTTAATGAGGAATAAAGCATCTGAGGAAAGGCAAAAATGAAATTTCCTCTTGGATCTAGATATGCTGATCGTGCAAAACAAATAAAATGCAATGCTGTTATCAATGAGGATCCCAATGCCAAACTGGTTCGTGAATTAAAGGAGGAGGTGACAAGACTGAAGGACCTTCTTCGTGCTCAGGGACTGGGAGATATTATTGATAGTAAGTATCAACAAGAAGTTTAATCCTGTCCTCTTCTGGGTTCTTACGTTTAAAAGAAACTTAAGAAATTTAAGGAAGTGCTGAAGCTAGAAGGTAGTGAAAGATTTCCTTTCTTTGTAAAAAGCCTAGTGAAAATTAGCTCATAATCTCATCGTACTCAAGAAATGAGTTTTTAAAACATGAATATATCAGTATTTGGAGTTTTATTAGAATTCTGTTTTAGTTCACCAGTGCTATTTGTTTGGAATAGAAAATCAAAAAATAAAAATATCATTTGAAATCTTTGGCTTTGTATCATGGATTTCTTTAGATTAATTAGTATAATAACAATATTATAAGAAAGCTTGTGTTCATGGAAAACTAGAATTGAAAGATAGTGGAATTTTCCCACAAACTTTTGAAGCCCATTAAATTAAATTCACCTTTGAATACCCTACCTCCTACAAAATGACTGAATGGTCCCTTTTCTATAAGCATAGGAAGGGAAAAGAATCCAATTTCTATCAAGTTTAGAAATTAGAGTTACCAGAGAATATTGTTTTAACAACATTGTCTTAAAATGCACTTTTTAACCTCTGTTCTGCCTACCTAATATCTAATCAAAAGTTCTCTTAAATGGCTGAAATAGCTTGTTCAGATATAATTGAATATGGTGGATTATTGGTTTATTTAATAAAGAATAGTTTTTAGTGTAAAATTAAGATTATATTCTTGGAACTACTCCTAGCATTTTTAAGATCTCTTCTAATTTAGTTGTTCTTCCTGATTAGTTCCTTAGTTTATGCAAATATAATTTGTGAAAATGATAATATATTCTAAATGTCAATTTTTTCATCTTTCCAAATGCCAAATACTGTTCTATACCCTATCTATGTCACTGCTGAACCTGAACTTTGACCCTTCTTGTATTTTCCCTCCTGCTTACCTTCAGTTGATCCATTGATCGATGATTACTCTGGAAGTGGAGGCAAATGTGTGTATTTCCTGTATCGGTTATCTCCAGTACTCTGACTTGCTAACTGCCTCTGCTGGGTCAACCTTAAAACAAGCTTTGCATGCCAGCAATCCTAACAGGGAAATCCCAGACGGAGCATACTGTAGATCAGAAATGATCCTATTTTCACCCTTCTCCAATTAGCTATGCAATCTTTGCTGAGTTTTGGTCTGTGGCTTGAAATTAAGAATTTTTTGCTTTTTCTACGCTCCAGTATTCCTCCCATGTGATTAAGCTAACTCCAAAATCATAGATAATGAAGATGGCAGTGATCATAGTGATGATAGAAGCTAACATGTAGTGAGCATTTACCAACATTCTAGGCACCGTAAATATATATCATCTCATTTAATCCTTCCAGTGACATTTAAAATTTTAGTTATTCCATTTTACCAATGAAGACAAGGTAATCTGGGATGTTTTAGATCACCTAAGATTCCACAGTTTCTATTGATTGGGCTAGGGAGTTTAACTCAGATCCTTTACTACACTAATGCTTCCTTAACCTCTTGAGTTTATCCCTTTAGGAACTGATTATTTAATAGAAAAATTATTTTCAGTTAGTCTTGATGGGTGTATATAATTAAAAACAATAACTTAAAATCTGCCAAACTACCCATGATGAAAGTAACTCTGTCTGACCATGTTGGACTAGCACCTACCTCAGCTTACGCTAAATTGGATTCTTCCATATCATGGGCCCAGCTTACTTAATGGTTAAATAAACATATTTTTTCCTTTTAATAAATTACAATTCATATATATATATATTTGAGTCCTAGTGTAGTGTAGTGGGCTAATGTGCTGGATTGCAGTGTCGGCTTGAACCGCAGGGTAGGCGGTTCAAGGTCACCAGTCGCTCTTTAGAAACCCTAAACAGGTTTGCTGTGGGTCAGAACCAACTCAACAGCACTTCACAACAGTGTATTTTTTTTAAGTTAGGTATCTGTATGTGTGATTGAAATTTAGTAAATTTTGTAAAGGATCATACAGTAATACTCTTTTCACCTATATCATTAAATTAGTGAGAAAATAATTTCTTACCCTTTGAAATGGATCAGCACTGGACTGCAAACCACAAAGTCAGCAGTTCAGTGCCCCCAGCTGCTCCTTAGAAACCCTATGAGTCGGAACTGACTCGAGTCCACTTAAAAAACAATAATTGTTTTGGAAGCAATGAAGCACCTTGATTTGTGTGTGTGTGAATTTTTAAGATTTTTGTTTATTTTTACAGTAGGGCATATAATGAGGAAATAATTGAAGCCAAATATAGACCCGGATACTGTAATGAGGCTAACTAAGCCTTGATGGCAGTGTCATCTGCTAGTACAGAAGTGGCCTTGGACTGGAACAGCTCTGTCTGAGATTTCCGTAGCTGAACAATACTGATGTGGAAACAACGCCATCTTACTTTTGCTTTTGTGCTCAAGGTGTTGCTGCTGCCAGCTTGTTGCCTAACTTTTCTGAGCAGCTGTGACATTTCTCAAACAAGCATGCATGATTAAGGTTTCATTCTGTATCCCTGCAGGAAAGCAGCCCTAACTAGTTCTGAATATCCTTGTTGATCTACTACGATAATTCTCTTTAGGGCTTGCATGTATGTGTCCATCGGACCTTCTAAGTGCCATCTATCCTATTCTTTCCTACCCTGCTGCCATCACTTGGTGGCTTTTTTTTTTTTTTTTTCTCCAGACCCCTATACCCTTTTAAACCATGCCTATTTGCTTGTTTCTTGTGTTCAATATTTGCTGATGGTGGTTTTCAAACTGTCTTGAAGCAACCACTGGTTTTAAGGGGCTTCAGGAACTGACTGATTAAATAGCACAGATGAGTAGACTGAGAAAGGACTAGTAATATTTTATTGCCTGCATTTATATTGGCTCATCTTATATCCTTTAAGCAACACTTAGTATTGATATGAATTTTAAGTAATGTAGATTTTCCTCAAATTTAAAAAGTAGCCAATTTTAAAATAGTAATGAACTAATACATATGGTTTTCCTTACGTGTCCATTTGCAAAGGATAATCACTGAAGCAGCAAGTTAATGAGATTTGTTTGTTTGTGGTTCTTTCACCAAAACTAAATTTAAAAGCAAAATTTACATGGTATTAGAGTTTTGTATGCAAGTATGTCATTAAAACTTGTGCTCTATAGAGAGTCGGACTTATTTATGACTCTTGGTCATACTGTTTAGGTCTTACTTAATGAACAAATTATCAACCATAAATTTTGCCTGTTAGATGAATGTAAGCTACAGCAAAATGTATTAATTTGCTTATTTTTCTTCCCTGTTGAAGTAATTAATTGGCCCTGAGGTTAGCACAAAAGTTTGTCATTTCTACAAATACCTCTCTGTTTTTAGTAAAGGATGTGTAAAACGTTCTTTTTTGGCATTTCGAAATATTGCTATACAAAGGACACTGTACTAAGTGCTCAGAATTTCATTTTGGCTGTAGTATTTTCATAAAAAGTTTTGTTGAATACCGTAAAACACTGGTGGGCTTGGCCAATAGAGATTGTTATTAATTTTTTTCTTTTTAAATGACCCTCTTTTTTCGCTTACTATTACAATCTATTAGAATTTAAGACTAGCGTAAATCTGAAGATTCCTAGACTTGGGGCAGTAGAAGAAAGAGTGCCTAACAGTATCCTAGGAGGCTCCAGCTACACCCATCCAATACCATGTTAACCCCCTACTGGAAGTTCTTTAGGTTCTAAATTCAAAGTGGTTCTCAACCTCTAGAATACCAGTATTAAAGAGAGACATGTTTTAGAACTGCCATCTTGAACAATTACACCTTGTCTTTGTATTACAACATGTCTTTGTCTTGGCGCTTAAATGCTGTTCTTTCTTACACTGGTGTTCTTTCCTGTCTTTTTTTCTTCCTCTGCACCTTTCCCTCTTTTTCTGCCTTCCCTTATTTCTATCTCCTAGATCTGAAAGATTTTCAGAACAATAAACATAGGTACTTGCTAGCCTCTGAGAATCAACGCCCTGGCAATTTTTCCACAGCATCCATCGGGTCTCTTACTTCATCTCCATCTTCCTGCTCACTCAGTAGTCAGGTGGGCTTAACATCTGTAACCAGTATTCAAGAGAGGATCATGTCTACACCTGGAGGTGAAGAAGCCATTGAACGCCTAAAGGTAAGTAATCTTTATTCACACAAGGTGTTTATGAATGCAAGGTATTCTGTGTAGCTCCAAAAGGCAGAACTTGGGCTAGAAATCACTGAGATTTTTACTCAGCATATGGAAGAACTTTCTAGATCTTAGTCTTGTCCTGAAAATAGAATTTTCTGCCTAATTTCTTTTCATCAAAATGCTTGACATCTTTAGTACACAGAACAGAGAAGGGTTCCCCTTATACTGGAAGAGTTGACTCCCTACAATTCTTGCAATGGAAGGACTGTCTCCTCTGCTGGAACAGATGGGGTTACTGGGCCATCATGCTGTGATGTGCAGGTCACCTGCTCATGAGACTTGGCTTGGCTGATTGAGGTTTTCCCCAGCTTGTTGCTGACTGTCAGGTTCTATCTTGTCTCCTCTTCAGGAATATGAAATGTAGGTGCAACAAAGCCTTCTGAACCAAAGGCTCTTCCCTTCCCCCTCAACTCTGCAAAGAGAGCAGACATTTTGTCTGCAGTGCAGAGACAAGTTATGTTAGAATCCTGCCATTCATCAAATGACTTGGACGGGATCAGCTGCTTTGAAGCGAATACTTTTTCTTTGCCTACTTGGCACCTCCTGGAAGACAGTTTGATATATACCTTTGTAGAGGAAGCAAGGGATGAAGACACTTCTCAAGGAGCTAGGAAGTTGCAGTCATGCTGCCAGCCAGCAGTCCTCTTTTTTTTACACTGCACTCAGCATTCCCCACTTAATGGTTGAAAAGGCACATTGAGCCTTTTCACCACTAGACATGAATTAAGCTTGATAATTGAAGAGGTCAGATGCTTTCATTTTGGTGTTGAAGTGAAGCTGAAAAGAAATTTTTATCTGAAAAATGGACTTCTGCTTTTTCTTGTATCTTCCCTTCTCTCAGCCTATCTTTTACTTTGTCATTTTGTTCACTTCTAAGATGATGTGCTTTGGAAACAAAAATAGTGATTCTGTGTCCTCTTTCAGACCATGTTAGTGGGAAATAGGTGAAGTTCTTAGTGGGCCAAGGGAAAGGGAGAAAGAAATCTCGTGAGTAAAAGTTGCAGATTGAAGTGTACTTGCTGCTGTTGTTAAAGTAAGCCCTGTGCATTACATCTTCAGCTTTATTTGTGAGTGATGCGTATCAGTGGTGAAGACACTGGGTAGGCTTGTATTCAGAGTCAGTGTGGAAATCAGGGCTCTCTGGAAGGAAAAGTGAGGTCTCCTTCTTACTATTTAATATAGAATATTTTCCTGATAGGAATTTTGAATCTTACTGTTTGACTGTTAAAAAGTTTTATTGTACAAATATGATTATTGGCAAGATATTGGCATATGTCTTGGTGTGAAAGAAAAAATTCTGGAGACCAACTGAAAATAGTGCAGAATGCTAGGAGTCAAGACATTAACCAGACTGTTTGAAGAATTAGATCACCCAGTGTCTTCCAGATCATTTCTAGGCACATAATAGTCTGATTATTCAGGGAGCTCTTGTTCCCTCTGGTCCCCCTCCCCACCCAAAAAAACCTGCATGACTTTAATTAGAAATTAATTTCCTCTATTTTAATACTTCTTTAAGCAACATAATTGGAATGTTCCATTTTCTCAGGCTTGATTCTAGCGAGTAAACCACTCCTTCATGGTTTTGTATTCTGTCTGGAGTTCTTCGTGCAGGGGCAGTAATTCACTGAAGCAGAAGTGCCTTAGTTCTGGTCTTACTTTGTGAATGGTGAGATTTCCATTTGGGCAGACCTCCTGCATTTTAATGCTACAGCCAGATAACATCTTTCTGCCCCAGAGCTAGGCAGCAATAAAAACGCATGCGAATGTCTAATCTGTAAATTGTTTCATTGTTGAGAGTAAAGGAATTGCTTTCCTAAGACCTCACTTCAGGATAAAACTGCTGTAATGGAAAACAGCAATAGAGGAGGTTGGTTTTCCTAATCTTTTACTTTCCTTTTGCTTCTCTTTATTTTTTACTTTAAAAAACTATCAGCAGAGAGAAAACTGCTTTCCCACAGCCTATTGCTGCTGAGTAGCCTATTTTCATATGGAAGAGACCCATGTTAACCAGATACAGATATCTGGAGTCTCCCTCCACCCCGCAACCTCTCGGTTTTTAGCCACAACTCAAACTGAGATGAAATATATGTCTAATCCCTTGATTTTGGATTCCTTTCTGATCAAGTTTTAAATATGCAGCTATAGTTACTGTGTGGTGGCTCTGGTGTTTGTTGATTAGTCTGGCATCAAAGTCAGTACTGTGAGTGCCACTGATGAGGCTGAGACTATAAATAATCACACAAGGGCAATGCTGTGCTAGGCAGCCTGAGGCCCCACACTCAGAACTCCCCTAGGAAGCCTGCTAATATGGTGAAACCTTGGCTGTCTGACTGCTTCAAGACTGTTCTGGGTAGTAAGCACCTAGTCTTTTAAATATCACAAGGTTTTATATATATATATGTATGAATGGAAATAATTCTCACTTGCCTGTGGATGTCTCTGCCTCCTTAATGGAATTGTCCAAGAAGACATTTGTGTTTAACCACATGAACATATTTCATTAACCAGAGCTGAACATGCAACTAGAGATGCAGTCATTCATGATGTGTTGAGATCAAAGGAGCTAATTTGTTTATTCCATCTTGAAGAAAGAGTATGTTTCACATTTCCATTGTTTAAAGTGAACTGTTTTCGCTGCTACCCACGAGGTTGTCAGTTTTAATCCAGCCACTCCTCAGGAGAAAGTTGAACCTGTCTGCTCCCATAAGAATTCATAGCCTTGGAAACCTTAAGGAGCAGTTCTGATGTGTCCTAGAGGGTCACTATGAGTACAAAATGGACTCAATGGCAGTGGATTTGTTTTGGAGTTTTGTTTACTTTAAAGCCTATAGACCTGTCCTTATTTGTAGAGCGAGCTCTGGGTAAGCCCAGTTCTAAAGTTGGTTTAGGGAGCAGCGTGGCCTCAGGTTAATTGCTTAGCTTGTCTTTAGTCCTCAGTTTCCTTATCTCTAAATGACTAGTGTAGCACTCGCTCTTCAAATAAGGAGGAATCTATAGGCTTCAAAATGAACAGCAAAACCAAAAAGCCAATCCTGTGCCGCTGAGTCAGTTTCTGGCTCAAAGCGACTGTATAGGACAAAGTTGAACTGTTGCTTAGAATTTCCAAGGTTGTAGATCTTTATTGGAGGCAACTGGATACAGGGTTGCTGTGAGTCAAAAACTATTTTGAGGGCATACAACAACATCAAGAATGACTCTGGAATAAATGATTTTTGAGGCTTCAGATAGGACTGAAGCTTTGCTATGCTACTCAGTTGTCGTTTTCTCTAGCTTTTCCGCAAAGTTGTAAAAAAATAGCTTTGTTGACAACATAAAAATTACTTCTTTAAGCTATAATGAAAAGTAAAAGTCTGCTGTAGTATCTTATTCAACTTACGCAGTAAATAAATCTCTTTTCCCCAGAGACCCTGTTCTGATTTACCATCCAGGTCATAAAGTGAAATTAGAGAGGTCACATAAAAGTTGGCAGCAAAGTGGTCAGAGGATTTTTCTAGTTACTATCTACAGTAACTTTGCTTCCCTGGGGTGTGATCTATAGGTGCCCCCAAAATAGGATAGCTCTGATATGGCCAGATGAGCCTCTGCTGTAAAATGATCCTTTTCTGGAAGTACCTAATCAGGACAAAAATGTATATTAACTACCTCATGGGTCAGTTTGTACTCTGTAAGTAAAGTAACATATAAGGGATTTGTAGATCACACTATAATCGGTATAGTTGAGTACACCCTATTGTCTGCTTCCTTTGTTTTTAAAGTCTTCACTGAGATTGTAATGGGGGTCTACCCATCTGTCTTTAATGAGCCCCCAGCCATATTGGTAACACTGTCAGTTTTGTCTTACACTTACCCTTTTAAAGTCATATGCAGGAGCAGCCAATGCTACTCTGTTGCAGTTGGTGCTACTTTATAGATACACTGTTGCACACCACTTGGCAGGAGGAGTACTTCTCCTGGATTGTTGTGGTTACTGTACTTTAACATGGCAGTTAGCTTTGTAGTGGCACATGCACTGAATACTAATTCCTCTTTGAGGACTGCTAGTGTGTAGAGAGCCTACAGTGCTTATGGCACTGTAGGATAAGCACTGAACTGCTGCACAAAAGGTCAGCAATTCAAATCCACCAGCCGCTCCGTAGGCGAAAGATGAGGCCTTCTGCTCCCAAAAAGACTTAAAACCTGGAAACCCTGTGAGTCGGAACCAGCGTGACAGCACTTAACAACAACAACGAAATGTATAGAGACATCTGTCTCTATTTGTGTGTCTCAAGACCAATGAAACCCAGCTTTGGTGTTTTTTCTCCCATCAGCCCTGTAGCAGACTTGTTTTAGGTCCTCCCATTTTTTAACAGAAAGTACCTCTGTATGTGGCCACTTCAGCATCTCTACTCACTTTACTGATTCCCATGCCTTGCCTCGTTTTGATCAGTTTTGCTCTTTGCCTGACTTTGCTAGTTCTATTGTTGCTGTTTTCTTTCTCTATCTTGCTCTCTTGTTTGTTTCTCCTGACTCTCTAATCCTTTTCCTTTGTAGCTGCTGCCTTTTTTTTTTTTCCACATCATTTTTTTTTAATGTTTTATTGTAAATTATATGATAGTTTACATGAGAGAACTTTAGTTTTACATTCATTCCATCGTATATCATTTCATTGCCATGGTTCCAATCCCCTCCATGGATCATCTTCCCACCAAAGGGTATATCCTAGAAACTCATACTCTACCCTTCCCCCTCTCCCTGTCCCCAGTCTTCTGCCCACAGTCCCTGTCCCTCTCTGGATCCAAAATCTCCAGCCGCTTCATCACTCCACGTCATCGTCTCTGTCTTCATCTCAGGCATCTCTGCTTCTCTGGGTAGGGTCCCCCTCTCAGCTCTTCTCCGTTGGTGGTCCCAGAGACCTCCGCTCCTAGACTGGAGAAATAATCACTCCCTTCCTTGCTACAAAACGT